TATTAGTCAAATGTCATCATGAGAACATGTATAAATGCCAATAAAGGAGACAAAATAATGTATGTAACGACACAATAATTATAAATGTTACATGTGTTTCTTTACTTATGGCTGTTTTTGAACGAATTACTGTGCGTAGATATTAATCATATTCTTCATTGTTGACTTCTATCATCGAATCTATATGGTATAAATAGATGGCATAATCAACTACGTATAAAGAAGAAATTGAAAAACGTTTGTTAGTACTATCTCTTCGAAACTAAAATGAGGAACTCATTTATCCTTTAGCTTAATTATACTAAAGGAATAAATGCGCAGTGAAAAATCTTTGGACAGCTATAGCTGTTTTACAACGTCATCAGTCATCAGACAAGCAACCACTCTTATTTATTTTTGCATCTTGAATAGAAATTTCTTTTTATAATTTTTAATAGTGCTCATTTCGATACTGAGGAACTATGGAAAAGAAGTGTAGTGCCTGCTGTCATTGATTGCGATGAAAAGGTATTCAGTCATCTTTAGCTCTCGCTGCTACTGTCAACAATCGATGAGAGAGAGGGAAAAACCACTAAACGTCGACTTGAAGCTTCTCTACATTGTTTTCTTCGAAAATATGCGAGTTCTACAAAAAAGAAATAAGCGTTGAAGACTTATTTTTAGATGCAACGCAGATAAATTTTGCACTAATCTTCTCTAGACCACGATAGAGAACGCTAGAAAAGAAGCTACCAAGACCAAAAATATACTTGATTTCATACATCTTAATTCTTGAAACATTATTTGACTTATTTCAGTCGTTATCTAAATGCAAAAAACCATGTTAAAACTTTGGAAATTCTTGAAATCATTGCCGAAAATAATTTTTTTTAGTTTGAATATTTCCATCTCGTGTTAATTTAATACAAAATTCTTCTCATATATCTTCTGATTGTTTTTGGTTATCAAATTTAATAAAACGCATTGCAATTTTTCTTAATCACAACCGACATGTTAATCAAGTTTATTAATAAATCGCGTTAAACAAGATCCATCAATAAATGAACAAAAACAACTATTTAATATACCATTAAATCATACAGTAGAAACACAGACTCATTGTACACCTACTACGCAGCATCAAATTCAACATCAATAATCACCACAAACATTGTTTTTTCACCATTAAGATCGAATTCGGCAACTCGAATCTAACTCAATCATCATTAATACGATCATTTCAGCTTTAGTTTTTAATAACAATCAGCAGGCCCCGCGCGAGCAGGGGGTTTATGGGGTGTACACCCCCAAAAATAAAAATTTGTCAGTTTTATCCGACCACAAGAGAGGATTTTGTCCACATTTTATGATTTTTCTGCAAGATTTTTCTGAAAATACTCTCTTACACCCCCCAATCTGCCAAACACCCCCCCTAATATTTGATCCTTCGCGCGGGCCCTGACAACCAGAGCATCTATTTTTGCACTGTAAGATGTTGGTTTTTCTACTTGCGCTATTTCTTCGTACGCTCGTTCATTTACTACATTATCAAACATAAGAAAATTAAACTAGTGACTTTTAAAATAGAAACTGTTTTGTTTATGTTTAGGAAAAAGCTTAATTGCACATACAAATAAAGTCGACTTTTTTCATTGGATATTATATCCATCGTTCCACCTTCGTTAGTTTTTTTCTTTTTTCTTTCAAGTTCTCTTTTACGGAGGTAAAACTTTAACAAGAAAAATCCATCTGTATAACATTTTAGGTCGGTTTTCTCGTTTGTTTTTTGATTATCATTTTCCTTATGTATTGTTTTTGTTATTGTTGTTATTCTCAACTATTAACGTGAGTTTTTCCATATGTGAATCATAAAACAAACAAGATAAAGTATTTAGTTGTGTTATAAAATAAATATAGGACTAATTTGGTTGATGTATGATTCAAATAAGAATCTGCATTGGAGATTGAGAGTGAGAGTCGACAGATATTTGACTGAAAGATGTTTTGTTAAAAACTACTAAATTAGTAGCACTTAAAATATTTATTCTTACAATCAATACCAGTGTTGTACGAATATTAACATACTCTGGTATAGAGAATAAAAATTAAAAACATGTTGTGTTATAAATGGGTTCCTCTTAAAATAGTTGCATTTTAGATATTGTTAATTTTATGTTTCCAAATAGCATTGATACTATGCCTCTCTTATATTTATATTTTTTGTGTCTAAATGTAAGAAAATTTTTAGAACTGGTGACATTCGATCATTAATTGTATATTAATCAAGAAAAAATATTGATAAATAGAATCAAATTATAGAGTATTATAGATGTCAAAATGATGCAAACTATTAATTAGAATTGATTTTTCTATCTTTTCCCTTGTATGTTAGCAAACTGGTTGGTTTATTTTCTTAGACATCACATATGTGTAACTCAATATAAGTAATATTATAAAAGTTCAAGAATACAAAAAAAAGCAATTTATCGTTATAATTGCAGTTATATCGTAACTAAACTTGCAATACAACTATCTCAATTGAAATCCAATTCCAGCGCAACTATGCTTTTAGTTTTTATATTCTATAACATAGTAATAAATACTAAAGGCTATTACTATAGTAATTTTCGACCAAATAACTGCCGATGACCAATCATTCGATCAATGACTTCTGTTTCGTCATGTAAAAGCCCAGTTGTTTGATCGTATAGTAGCATCCGTCTCGATGTGCTCCTATGATATTCAAAAAAAATATCATCTAGGGTCAGTAAAAATGGAGCAAAAAACAATCAAATGAAGTCAAACGAAGACAATAGTATGAATATGAATCTATTTAACTGTACTTTAATTAATAATGCTTCACCCATTAATCAAACAAGATGTATCCTAATATCGAAAACAAATGCAAGATAATTAATCTTCGATAATATGCATTTTTCAACATGACCATTGAAGGGATACATCTTTCCAAGTTTATGAGAGTTTTCATTTTCGTTAAAGAAATTATTTAATCTTTCTTTTCCATAATTTATACGGAGAAAATTGTGCATCAAAAGTACAGATAGAAAAGAAATAACAATTTCCGAATTATGCTTTCATAATGTGGCTAAGAGATTTCTGTTTAGTCTAATCTAGTCTGGTATGATCATCATACGTATAAAGCCGACATGACGTTTCATGACCACAGTAATTAGAAGTGCTAAGTATAATCGCAAACTGTCATTTTCTTTAATTGGTATTGTACTAATTATCACTAATATTATAATTTCATTATTTTAAACTATTTATCTTACTTTCCAAACAATATCAACATAAGAAAGTCTTTATCAAAAATGTCAACTAAGAAAGTTTTTGCCGGAATTTCTGATAATTAAATTTGCTCTGCTGAAACGAAAATTTTGAATAAAACACTGATTTTTAGGTTTGAGAACTCTTTGTTGGAGCTACTTTTTTTAAAAACGTTATCGTAAAGAACGCAAAATCCTAAACAAAATATAAAGGTTTGCATATTTTTTTTGTAACTTTCTCTTTAGAAATTTTGATGTTTACATATATTTTTTCGATTTCTGTCATGTTTTTAGATTTTAAAGAAATAAGCTCCTAGAAAATGAGAGAACTCTTCATTTTGCTCAGAATTTTGTATTTTTTCTAATAATACTGTTAAAAATAGTTCTGATAAAGTCTTCTGATAACTCCAAGCTATCGTGTTCTGTTATTTTAGAAATCATAGTGTCAGAGTTCATCTATAAAATCTTACTGCAGCAGGCATTAGATAGAAAGCTTCATTGTTTATTACAATCATTCTATGGATTTGAACTATGATTCTTAACATCATTTTAAAAAAATATCAAAAGTAAGTCGGTTAGCGAAATGTTGTTTTCCACCGCTTTAATGCTGAATCTTTATTAAATTTTCATTTTTCACTTCGGGATTATTTGTTTGGAGCGTCCATGTAAAGAAGAAAAAGAGGTTCAAACTTTTCTGTGCATCTCGGTACTTAAAAATATTGTTCTTTTTTTATTCACACAACTTTCCATGAAGTTTTAAATGTTCTCTCGTTTTGAAGAGCATTTTTACATAGATGGATTGAATGTGAATCAGCTGAATGTAGATGGAATGTTGAAATCATTGAAAATTATTCTATATGAGCAAAGTATTGACATTCTGAAGCATACATATGAGCTTTCTTTGATTTTCGAGTGCCATTAGTATTCAACGTCATTTTTTATTTTTTATTTTTATATGCTCACCAATTTCTACTCATTAAGATAGAATATATTTAGATAAATGAAAACTTTGCAATAGATTATTTTTTTGTTTGTTGTTTATCAAACGTACGTTTTGTCTCTTTTTCTTGATATTCATATATTCATTTGTATTTTGACACATCTATTCAATAAAAAACAAATGATATATTTGAATAAACATAATCTTCCCAGAGATTTGTTTTTTTCTACTAGGCGTCTAAAATGGATGGAGCATTACAAAAATGTAAATTTTATCTGAATGTTCTCAATGAATAATTCCTAGAGGTCAAAAGTTCTAAATATTTTTCTTTTTTTTCGGAAATTAAATTTGATTAATCTAACATAACAAAAAAGATCGACAACATTCATTAACATTTATCAATGTTGTTCATCGTATCTATCTTGAGGGTGTGAGTGTGAGTGTGTGGATCGAAGAAATACCCACAACCACGCCCCACGCCCCACACCTATACCCACACCCAAAACTCAACTTCGATATTTCTTTGAAAAATTGGATTTTCTAAATAGGGGGCCTTAATGAAGTTATTAAACCATTAAATAACTAATCATAAGTATATTGTTAAATGTTTTGTTAACTTTTTGGAATTCATATCGCTAATAGAGCTAAAACTTCATTTTTTGAGTTAAAATCAAATATAATCGTTTGGAACTCATCTATAGTAATCGATACTGAACGCAAGATCAATGCTGTTATTATACAAAGCTTTGTATTATTTCTTAGTTGAAATCTTAATCTTTTCAATCAAAATATAATTATAATTCTAAATGAAAAGTACTTTTAGATTCAACAGTCAAATTATTATCACCATGATTAATACCCGTTTGATCAATTTTTGGTTCATAACGACCATAACGGTTTTCAAGTTTTGCTGGTCCCCATTCAATATCTGGTTCACTTGCATAGACCAACATTCTCAAGTAATGCGGCATATTTTCAGCAACCTTTAACATACAAGAAATATATATATTACCAATCATCGAAAAAACGAATGGTTTCTACTTGATAATCAGGACTATCTGTTATTTTCCATGCTTTGATAAATTCATAAATCATAATACTCGGAATGAAGATGAGTGATGAACAAACCATAAGCCAGCCAAGTGCATTGGCATATGCTGGATATTCATAATTGCCTTCGATCGGTGCTCGAAATTGAATGACCAACGAAAAAAGAATGATCTAATTTTAAACGGAAACATTTTCCGACTTAAATAATAAATATTTTATCGTTTAATTTACTAGAGTAATTAGTGGACCAGAAATACACCAAGTAAAAAACCAAAAAGGTTCTAAAGGTCTTTTACATAACATCATTCGAATATCGTCCATGAAATTATTAAAACCTACAAAACCAATAAAGACTTAATCCAATAACTGATCTATATAAACTTTACCATAGATATAGGCAATAAGCACAAATTCAATAAATGCACATGTAAATACAGATAAATTACATGCATATTCATTCATTAATGTCTACAAACAAATTAAATTATTAGGGCCCAATAAACAATATACACATACAAACAGATAAATTCCACCCTAAACAAAAAATATTTAAGTATATAATAATGTTTTACATATCATATTACCGGGGCACATATTGGTAATGCTAGTAAATAACAAACAATACAATAACTGATTGTTACAAAGATTTTATGACGACGTAATTGTTTAAATGAATCGAGTAAACCAGAGATTATAACATCAGCGGAAGCAAACTAAAGATATTTTTACAATAAATTAAATCATACTTCTATTGTATCAAGTTACTTGAGAATCGAGTCCAAGAGTGAGTAGCATAAAAAAAAATACTACAGCCCAAAATGGTCCACCTGGCATGATTGATAGTGCTTGTGGATAAGCAATAAATGCAAGGCCCGGCCCACCTTTAGCCACTTGTTCAATAGGTAAACCAGTTTTTAGTGACATATAACCAAGAATTGAAAAAATTGCAAGACCAGCAAATATCTATTGTTTTTATTCACAATTTATTGAAATATATAGAAATTACTAACTCACTGAAGTAAAACAATCACAAGCGGTAACAATAATACAATCCCTAAATAAATAAATATATATATATATGCGTCAAATGTGAAACATAGGAAATTAAAATAATGAAGAATTATTTTACCTGAGATAGTTTGCTTTAAATTTATTAAAACTAGCATAACCGAGAAGAGGACCAAATGCGACCGCCAAAGAAAATGTAACCTAATAGATTGAAAGCATTGAAATATTTAAAAATTTGTGACTGAACGATGTATTGTAGGTGTGTGGATGAAGGTGAACATGTGGGTGTAGATACTTTGTTTAGGTTGTTGATGAGAGCACACAAAAGATCCGCACTCACATCAACATTCCGAGGACGTAATGTCCAAACACTATAAAAATTCATGAAAAACAAACAACAAACCTGATTAGCAGCAGCAACCCAAACCTTCAAAAGAAAACGGAATTCAGACAAAAAACCTCTATTTAGTAAATTAATATTCTGGTTGAAAAATCTCACTTTACTTGCAAACATGAAAAAAAATAGTGAGACATACTTACATCGAATTCTCGAATTTTATTCCAATTAGGTTTCAAATAAAATGTAAGACCTGCTCGGGCACCTTAATAATATATTAGTACTTATTTTATGAATAAATACGTATAAAAATGTTACCCGGTAAGGTTACACCACGAATGATCAAAGCAAAAATGACAACATAAGGAAATAATGCAGTAAAATAAACAACCTATTACATCAATTACTATATTAATAGAATGATCATTTTAAACATTTTACTTTGCCCGACGATTCAATACCTTGAATTATACAAAGACCAACAAGAATCCAAGCTAATAATAAACACAATGATAAAGACCAACTAGGTGAACCCAATTTATCAAGTGAATCACTTCGTCGTAAAACATAATTACTAAAGAATATTTCATATTCATAAAAAAAACAAAACATTATGCTGTCATACTCAAAATATTCTTCTGGTGGAAGACTCGGCATTGTACAATTTGTTTGATAATGAATACTTTTGCAGAAAACAGTCAAATTTGAAAAATTTAGTGTTTCTATTAAAAAAAAATAAAAAGAATTTGCTTTTCAATTATTAAGGAAACGAAAACAATATTTTCCTATTGTAGTACAACGTTGGGTATTCCACCAATTTCCACAATCACTCCATTGAAGTTTACGTCGAAATGAAGCAAAAAAGTAGAAAAGACACCAGGCAATTATAACATTATAATAGATTGAAAGTAAAAATGAATTCATAACCATTGTCCAACCAAGTCCTTTAAAACATTAGATACTTTTTATCATGGATACAGTTACTATATACAAATTATTTGTCTACCTTTGAACATTCGGGACATTTTAAAAGCAGCTGCTGAACCACTACTCGTAAATTGTCCCAATGACATTTCAAGAAAGAAAAGTGGTGTACCAATAAGAAAATAAATACAAAAATAGGGTATAATAAAAGCACCTATTATTCATATTATAGTTATCGATCAATAAAACCAAAAATATACCTCCGCCATTTTTGAACGCTAGAAAAAAAAACAAAATACTAGAGATAGTTACACTTTCATTATATATTTACCAATGTATGGATATCTCCAAACATTGCCGAGACCTTGAATATAAATAAAAATGTTAGACAAAAACTTTTCTATATAGTTTCTGACCAAACCTACCAATCGAACAACCGATTAATGAAAGAAGAAACTCCAACGGTCGATCCCATTCTTCTCGTTCTTCTTCTTTGGTTTTTGAAATTTCATTCTAAACCGTTTCGATATGTATCAAATTAGAATTGTAAGTAACCTACTTCACATGATGGCTCGGATGTTTTACGAAGTGAAAAACGAGCTTTCAGACGATCGAACATTATCAAAATAAACAAAATTAATTAAATTGTGCTTTTTCTTCTAACATCAAAAATAACCTTTGCTATCGCTTCCTAAAAACATCAGAATTGATAACAAAAAAAAAAGAAAAATGCACTCTTTCTAATTGAAATAGATATGAATTGTTCTTTGCGATAGAGAGAAGATCAATGAAAAAAATAAACAATACAAGATATTTGTACAATTAAAAATCACATCTAGAATGTAAACAAAAACAAAACATTTTCATTATTCTGAAGTATGGGTGAAAGGTGTATAGAAAATAATTCTTCATCTTTTCATTGCTGATAATACGGGTGTGCGGGTGTGGATGTGGATGTACACTTCCCTAGATCTGCACGCCGACGCCCACACCCACCCACACCCTTCCATTCCATTCATCTCATTCACCACATATTATGAGGAATATTTCGTATGCTACTGAATTAAGAGCAATGGGAATTTGTTCACATTCTGACGATCTTCGAGAAGAGTTAGACAAAATTAGAGTAATATTATTACTAAATAAATATCCACCAACATTTATTGATCAACAAATGGCTAGATTCTACACTGAAAAAAAATGGTGCGATACCGAACCAAAAAAGGTATTTTGAACGAAAAACAGGTTCCGTACATAGTACGAAACCTAAAAAGGTTTCGAATTCGTTGCAATTCTCTGAATCGTTTTAGGTTCGGTACAGCCCATTACAAAAAACTTGAAAAAGTGTCCTGAGTCAATGACAATCAATTTTAGTCACCCAAAGTTTTGTACGAAACCTTTTGAGGGTTTCGTATTCTCTTCCTAAATGGTTCCGTAATCATACAAACTTTTTTGCAGCGTACGCAACCATTTAGGAAGACAATACGAAACCCTCAAAAGGTTTCGTACAAAACTTTGGGTGATTAAAATTGATTGTCATTGACTCAGGACACTTTTTCAAGTTTTTCGTAATGATCTGTACCGAACCTAAAACGGTTCAGAGAATTGCAACGAATTCGAAACCTTTTTAGGTTTCGTACTATGTACGGAATCTTTTTTTCGTTCAAAATACCTTTTTTGGTTCGGTATCGGGTGTGGGTGTGGGTGTGGGTGCAGGGAAATTAAAAGAAGCATACACCCACCCACACCCCACACCTACACCCTCACATATCCACACCCCACACCAACACCCACCACCCACACTCCACCCTAATTGAAAATTTTACTCTAGATAATTCATGTATACGAGAAATGTATTTTCTTTCATAAGTCTTGCAATTATTTTTAAGATTCTTTATACTAACAGCATAGGATAATCAAATGTAGTTCTCTTGGCAACTTAAAATTAGGTACAATATTATGCTTTTTTGGTTGACAGTCGCTAATAAACTTAAATTTGATAATGATGAAAATATTGCAAAATAAGCACGACATATGACCATGCAGCTGTATGAATTCTTACGACATCAATGTTGTTTGAAAATTATTCTAAGATCCAGTTAACATGCGATTGACAGCAATTAATCTCGCTACTAATATAACTTTTAAAATCTTTTTTTCATTGTCAATAATTAATTTTTATATCTGAAAACAAAAAAATTAAGTATCAAATAAGAGATTACATATAAATTTGAAGTATAATCATATTATTCTTGTCGATAATATTTGAATATTATCGAATTATACTACACTCTCTAAGTTAGTTCAAAATTTGCACCTAAAAAAAGCAGAAAATTAAGAAACCAACAATTCGTGTTTACGATGTACATTGCCTGTTATTCTATTGTGTCTCTATCGCGTTGAAAAAGGAAAATATCATTTTGGATGGTTGTAAAGCATGGACTTTTCATCTGATTGGCTTATAACTTCTATATGAAGTGAGCCTATTGACTTTGGCTCACATGTTTGGCTCACTTCCGTGGACCATGGTTTGCAATAGCAGGTGTACTAAGCAGAAACAAAATGTACAGAACATCTGCTGCTTTTTATGCACACTCTGTTTTACACTTTGGTTGGAAAAACAAAGTCTACATCGTACACTGTATAGAATAAATTTACACTTTCATATTAATGCATTAACAGTGCTAAGAAGTTTTAAATCAAATAGAATGGAAAGGCCATAGTAAATTGTGATATCTTTCGATCGATCTTATCATTAATTAGATATGCCTTCTTTTCTTCTCGATCTCTGATAATGATGTGACTCTATGCAATAAAAAACTCGTTTATGTTTTTTTCTATAAACTCGCGTTTTTCTTTGCTTATTTTTTTGTAAAATGGTAGATAATGAAATAGGATAGGTACTTGTTATTTTTGGACGATTATGTACTTACATTTCTCAGTTATGAATGATCCGAATATTTCAATTTATATTTTATATTTGAAAAAAATTGACTTCCCTATCCGTACACTTTGATACACTTTGGTGATGAAAATAAAGTGTACGGATACACTCTAGTTATATAACTAAAATGTGCAGATACATTTTGTTTTAGATTTCCATTGCAAACCCTGCCGTGGACCCAAATCTAATCTATATGCAATAATATAAGAGGATACAGAACAATACTCGAGTGATACGATCCATTCAGATGTCACTGTACTGTTATCATACCATTTATATTTCATCCATAAATAATTTTTCACAACAGAGCGTTACATGTCGATGACAAAATCAGTTAACTGATTTTGTCATCGGCATGCGGTGCCCTCTTTTCATATGATCTTCCGAAGAGAGACTAAACAAAACTCTACATATGACAATTGCATTTCATTTGTTGATTGAATATTTGTTTATTCTTTTTGAAAAGAGAAGCATGAAAATTCTTCTTGTTTTTTATTTTTTCTACGTTGTTATGATTTTCACGTTTTTATCGAATGAAAATTGTATCTGCATTTATTATTTACTTGATTGTTTGATGTCGATTTTCTTCCTATGAAAGAGAAATAGATGAATCTTCTTTTTTTTTTCTTTTTAATTCTTTCACATTAAATAGACTAGGTTGAACTCTATATGCACACTTTGCTACATTTTGCTTACGAAAAGAAAATGCTTATTTACACATTGTCCACTTAAAAAAACGTACAAAAACATCTTGTTTTAGATTTTCATTAGCAACACTTCTCTATCGTCATCATTAAGATTTTCGTTACTGCTATTTCTTATCATTTAATGAATGGCGCAATATCAATTGTTGTCTCAAGCTTTGGCTGAAATTCAACATGGTAATCATCAAGGTGCTACTGAAGTAAGAATGGTGGAAATTCTCTTGTCTCTTAGTTTCTATTATAATTTGTAGACTATATCAAAATACATTGATTCACTTCCAAGTGAAGCTCAAGAAGAACGTAAAGTAGCAATTCGGTTTCGAATTGATACAAATCTAAAATCTGGAAAGATGGATGGTAATAAGAGTAATCATTGTTGAGCAATAAAAATTTGTTTTTATCTTGTAGAAGTCAAACATGATATCATGTTGTTAAATTCAATGTCGATGGATGAAAAAGATGAAGAAATTCTGCTCAAAATGATTCGAATGTCATTGTGAGTTGTATGTGCTTGCTGTTTTTTTCTATGCTCTATCCAGCTTGTTCTTATAACATCTTAAAAGTCGATCAAATGAAATCGGATTTAATGGATATTTACATTTTACTTGGTGGTGAAGGTATAAAACATTAGTACTCGCTTTTTGTCCTGCTTGCATATCAAATAGAGGATGGGTGTGGGTGGGTGAGGGGTGTGGGTGGGATGTGGGTGTGGGGTGTGGGTGTTGGTGTGGGGTGTGGCTGTGGCTGTGGGTGTGGCTGTGGGTGTGGGTGGGTGTGGGTGAGTGTGGGCGTTGGCGTGGTCAGAAGTTTACGCAAACCTACATTTACCAACCAGCATGTGTGCCCACAGCCACACACATCCCACACCCGCACTCACATACACACCCATACCCACACCCTCATACCCACATCCTCGATTTCTTTCTTATACATTGTCTGTTAGATCTCATATTTATATCAGATATACTAGATGATATAAGTGACATATGCAGCATATAAGCAACATCTGGATGTAGTAATTTGTCGAAAAGTGTATAAATACACGATAATCAAAAATAAAGAAACACGTCTGAGCTTTAGAAAAATTTTATCAAAGCAATTGAACAACAAAATGGCACGTGCAAAAATGTCTTTATGAAATATTTATAGT